CGGGGTTTAGAAGCCCATCAGATACTAGTCCCCCCATGTTAAGCAGAGGGGAACGCTATCTGACGGGGTTTAGAAGCCCATCAGATACTATTCCCCCCATGTTAAGCAGAGGGGAACGCTATCTGACGGGGTTTAGAAGCCCATCAGATACTATTCCCCCCTGATGTCATTTATGTTGAGTTGCAATAAACGCAAAACTCTCTGCAGGTTCTTGTCTTTGTCGTCCGCTCTATTCAGCTGGCTTTGGAAACACACGGGGAGAAGGTGGGGGCCGGGTGGTGAGGGTTACGGGGGCGAGAAACGCAAAAGTAACGCAATAGCTACTTTAGCTAGTAACTAGTTACTTTTATTTTGGAGTAACTCAGTTAGTAACTCAGTTACTTTTTGGGACAAGTAACTAGTAACTATAACTAATTACTTTTTCAAAGTAACGTGCCCAACACTGTCCCTCTCAATGAGCATGCATGCAGTGACAGTGGAGAGGAAAAACTCCCTTTTATAATAGTAGGGAAATCATATTTAAATATCAAATCATTCTGGCTTAAACATGTACATACATGTTCTCTTTATCAGACGATATTGTCCCAACATTTAGAACATTTCTGTTTTAAAAAAAAAAAATCCTGTCCTAAAATCTGTGTGTTTTTTTCGTTATCTTATGCAGGCCAGTTAGTTATACGTCAACCTGAACACCTAAATCAGCCAATCATATATCAACGGTCATCTGTCAATCAAAATTTTTCCGTCTTAGCATCTTGATTCATATGTCGCAGCTAATATACGCAACGGTTGAAATAAGAAACAAGAATAATTTACTTTACTATTCAGTTACGTCCCAAGAGAAAACATCCAGTTAGTCCCAGTAATACAAGACAGAAACGGGACTAAACACTGAACAACAGGGCCTACTTCATCATCTATAATCTTGTGTGTTGCTGGCAGCAGGCTAACTGATATTTCCAGGATGGAGTTGCTGTCAAACAGAAACAGACCAGATAGCACAGAGAGCAAAACGTATAGGTTGAACTAACAAATGCTGCAGAATTAGAGAATGGAGATAGAATGAAGCAGAATGATGAAAAAAGGTCTCTATGTCCTCCAGCAGTCTAAGCCTATAGCAGCATTACTGTAGAGATAGCTCAGGTTACCCTGAGCCACTCAAACTGTAAGCTTTGCTTTAAGCTATTTATTTTACTTTACAGTAATGACCTATCTTTCCAACCAGTTATTGTTTTAACAGGAGTCCCTAAGTATCTGTTTTCTTCTGCTACTTGGACCAGAAGAATATTTCACTACTTTTGTCTTCCCAGATGTTTACATAATCTCAACATTTTTTAACCAAAACCACATTTCTAGTCTGAACATTTAGTTCTTACTGTTAGTCTGATGTAGGCGTTCAGCAGGACCCCTAACAAACTGCGCCTTCTGCGATATGAAAATGTGACCAAACCAGTTCAGACTCTGGGTCAGTTTATGCTGGTAGGGCAACTCTTGTTTTGTGCCCTGAGGAGACCGAGCTGAACACAGAACCACACTGAATGAGCGCGTATGAGAGAGGCCAAAGAAAAAGGCTGCCATTGTCATTATTCTGCTGCGCAAGCCCGACTACGTGGTGGCCATGGCAACAGCATTCTTTCTCAGCAGAAAAGTAAAAGAGCAGACATACTGGGAAGGAAACCAACTAACTGGGCTGACACTGGACAAGAACCAGTGATATCTGTTGTTCTCATTAGTTCGTTCCTTAGAAAACATTTAACAGGGCAGAGTTTTAACCACACTGATCCTAAGTTGTAGATCATGTGCTTTTCCGTTTCTCCAAACTTTGATTTTATTTTCTCTGAAATTGAGTTCCAAGTACTGCTTGGCAAGCTGATCTAAAAATAGGTAGGCAGGTCTTAAAATAAGCAGGTAAATAAGGTGAAATGTCATTTGAAGGAGTATTTTTGTCCCTTTAGAACAAGGTGATTCAATATAAGGGAACTTAAAGTAAACTAATTCAGATTTTTGTTTCTTATTTTAAATGCATATCACCTTGATCCATTTACAAGTTGTCTTACTTACCTCTCCAAATTGAGCAAAATGCTTTTATTTCAACATAATTGTTTTGCTTTTTTTTTTTTAAAGCAATGCCTTCATGTTTAGCTCAAAGTGAATGTTGCACTGCTCCTTTAAGTGCCGCATGTTGATTATTTTATCATCAGTTAATCTAAAAACAGACACTTTTATTAAATTAACATTTCTAAATTAAGCCTTTGGAACTTTTAAAAACAAACCTTAATTTTTCATTTTAAATGAACTATAAATGTCAAAAGAGTAAATATGAACATGTGTAGATACTGCATAAATCTGAATGTATAAATATAGTGACCATATTAATGTAATTAGGTAATGAATAGAGATCTTTATCCTTATTACTGCTGTCAGTAGGTTATTTTTTCAGTGTTTTAGAGTCTGTGCAGCATCAGTCTATGCAATGATTACATTTGGTTATCAAATTAGTTGATGATTATTTCAATATTTATCGTTTCGGCCATACTTAGATCTCAGATATTGTTTCCGGGAGGCACCATCTGGATAAAATACATTAAATAAAAACAATAAACTCCAAATAGATAAGCTAATAAAATGTGGTGTATAAATAGAAGCTAAGTGTTTAGGTAGATTTCTCTCTTTAACATGTTAGAGGGAACATTGTAGCTAATTTTCATCTTTTTTTGACTGTAGTTAATTAATTTTTAATGTATTTTTATGGGCTAGCTATTTAGCAGTTTATCCTCCATTTCTCTAAACACAGTACATCATGTAGAGTTGGTTTCTTGTATGAAACCTTTAGGAGCCCCTCTGTCAGCGCAAGAATACAGTTTTAGCTAGCTACTAAAGAAGGCTGCTGATCTAGTTTTTGGTGAACTTCTGTAGAGTGCGACTTAAAAAGAAAATTTCTTTAGCAATAAAAGGAGGATCTACATCATAGATCTGCAATTTGTGATGGTTGACACTGAAAGATGGTCAGAAGATACGTTGATGAAGATTCTCAGTCATCCAGGTCATAGTCATTCTAAAAAAAGAAAATTCAAAACAATCCACTGGACTTGAAAATGTCAGGAATTGCATTGAGTTCCAGGTTTTATACAGTTTCCCGTCAAAACCTTGTATTTGTTTTGAAAACATGCAAATTGGAACGAACAAACGGGTCCACCCCTTTGAAATGGGGGTTGTTTGGCTTTGTTTGTTAGCCTGCAATGCACCATACCCTTCTAAGAATCTGAAAGGTTGGTCGTTAAAGGGAATTGTTGACCTGGCTGAATAGGCGAGGTCTTCTGCTCTCTTGTACAGAGGCTGGGGCTGCAATGATAGCAGGAAGTGATCAACTCAATTTCTGCATTGTAGGTTTTTGAAAGCTGAAATCTGAGTCACTCTTCTGTGTTAGGGCCAGACGTATG